CCGCCCCCCGCCCCGTCGACGGCCCTCGCGGGAGCAGTTCGGCGCAGCGAGCGCGCGCGCTTCTGCCCCAGGCCGGCGTCGATTTCTCGCGACAATCTGCTTCCGAGAGGCCTGCCGCCCAGCGTCGCTTCGGCCGGGAGGGCGAGCGCCGTCGCATGGACTGACATGGCCGCCGAGCTCGCCATGAGCGCAGAGCTGCCCAACAGCCCGCTGGCCATCGAGTACGTCAACGACTTTGACCTGATGAAGTTCGAGGTGAAGAAGGAGCCCCCGGAAGCCGAGCGCTACTGCCACCGCCTGCCGTCGGGCTCGCTCTCGTCGACCCCCATCAGCACGCCGTGCTCCTCGGTGCCTTCCTCGCCCAGCTTCTGCGCCCCGAGTCCCGGCGCGCAGGCCAACCAGAGCCTGTCCGGCGGCGGGGCGGCCGGCGCCGGCACCGGCGGCGGCGGCGGCGGCAACGGTCAGCACAACAACGGGGCCAAGCCGCAGCTGGAGGACCTGTACTGGATCCCCAGCTACCAGCACCACATCAACCCCGAGGCGCTCAATCTGACCCCGGAGGACGCGGTGGAGGCCCTCATCGGCAACGCGCACCACCACCACCACCACCACCACCAGGCCTACGAGGGCTTCCGCGGCCAGCAGTACGCCGGGGAGGACCTGTCGGCGGCTTCGGCCGCCCACCACCACCACCACCACCACCACCAGGGCCACCACCATCACCACCACCACCACGTGCGCCTGGAGGAGCGCTTCTCCGACGAGCAGCTGGTCAGCATGACCGTGCGCGAGCTCAACCGGCAGCTGCGCGGCTTCAGCAAGGAGGAGGTGATCCGCCTCAAGCAGAAGAGGCGCACCCTGAAGAACCGCGGCTACGCGCAGTCGTGCCGCTTCAAGCGCGTGCAGCAGAGGCACATGCTGGAGACGGAGAAGTGCACGCTGCAGAACCAGGTGGAGCAGCTCAAGCAGGACGTGGCGCGCCTGGCCAAGGAGAGGGACCTGTACAAGGAGAAGTACGAGAAGCTGGCCGGCCGGACCTACGGCCCCGCCGCCGTCGCCGCCGGACCCCCCGGCTCCAGAGATCCCGCCGGCAAGCAGGCCGACTTCTTCATGTGATGGACTGGCGCGGCGCGAAGCCCGCCTACCCGTCCGCTCTCCTCTTCGTCTCGTCGTCGTCGTCGTCCGGGAGCGTTTTGCTTCCGGGTCGACAACCCCTGCACGCAGCACCAGATCGCCGTCCCACAACGCGCATTTTGAGTCTTAAAACTTTTTTTTGGAGGGTCGCATCAGGCGACGCGGGCACGCGCCGGCCGTCGCCTTCCAACCTGCTCGACAAGTCTTAAGTGACATTCGGCGGCTTCTTCGACGCGAAGCTTGTGAACGCGTCGCTCGGACTGAAGCGGCCCAAGAATGAAAAAACAAAAAAAAAAAAAAACCCAAGGGGACATTCGGACACCGCCAGTGTGTTCGCTCCTCGTCGCTCCGTTCGCCAGCATGCAGGACATGTATGGTCCGGTCCCGGTGCCCTCGCGTCTGCTCAGCATGCAGCTTCCTCCTTCCTCCCGCTCCTCACGAGACGCGCCGCGACTCGAGCGGCCGCCGCGCAAATCCGCTCGTTGCGGAGACAAAACCCAAACACGGATGCGTATTTCACGGCTCGTCTCGATCCATTTTTTTTCTAAAGACATTTGCCGAGCCAGAGCGGAGACGATTTATTTCCAAGTGTACATAAAATGTCGAGAAAACGGTCCTCGCGTTTATTTGACGAGCTCCCCCAGCGAGCTTTTTTTTTTTTTTTAAGAAAAAGAAGAAAACCAAATCGCGTTTGTTGCTTGGATGTTACAGTCGCGTCTTAATAACAAATGTTCGTCGAGGTCACAGCATGCAAATCGTCTCTCGGGTGTGGACTGTAAAACAAAACAAAACAAAACAAACCCGCGGAGGCGCCCTCCGCCTTTGGCGGCCTCCGCGGCACTGACAACGATGCTTGCATTTTTTTATTTTTTTGAAACCAAGCTCTTGTTTTTTAGATCGTAGATCCTTGAAAAGGCCATTTTAATTTTCAACGAAGCTCGCGTTTTCTAGGTTTTAAAAAATCGATTTGAATTTTAGAAGGTGACGTCCTTATTTTGCTGACGGACTGGCTGCATTGGCTGCGAAAAGTCCAGACGCCAACTGACGACCATTCGAATCATTCTTTTCTTTCACCTTATTTTTATTTGTTTATTTTTTTGTAATGAAAAAAAAAAAGGTGCATTGGACTTATTTCATTCACAAAACGACATGTCTGATAATCGGGCGACGTGTCGAGTAGACTCTTAATTTTTTTCCCCCCCTTCTTTATTCGGCATCTTACTTGGCCTTGTAACAACAAATTGTGCAGCTGACAAGAAACGCGCATTCGGCGTGGCTGAGCCGCCGGGACGAAGTTGCCGCGGCTCGGCCGACCGAAGGTGCGACCGCAGGCGCGTGCCAGCTCCTTTCAAACGTCACCTTCAAAAAGAAGACCGAGTTCAGGACATTCTCCGATGGATTTATTGGATTTTTATTTTATTATTTTTTTTTTTTACATTTTTTAAAAATGTATCCGCGGCCAGCAACCCGCTTCCTCTTGGCCCGAACTTTTCAGTCTCAGTTTTCTCATCAGTCATCAGTCTTCTTCTAAAAATTCAAAAACAAAAAAAAAAAAAAGAGAGAGCGAGCGAGCCCCGTTCCCGACTCGACCCTCATCAATCTTATCGATCGATGGGGAAAGGTAAGGGAGTTCCGCACAGTGCTGCTAATGTATATCTGTAAATAGTTTCGATATTTATTGGCTCGAGGTGTCCGTCCGACTGTCCGCAAAAAGGCCGCAAGGTGGAACGTTGTCGAGAATCTTGTTTTGCTAAAGTTGAATAAAAAGACGTGTCCCATCCTCGCTGTCAGGCTGCTGCCGCGGGCCTCTTTCTTGACAAGACGCGCATGCTGACAAATCGCACCCTGTCCACTTGTGATCCACTTCAGCTACGAAATTTGATTTTTATTTATTTATTTATTTATTTTTAATAGATCCTTTTTTTCCCAAATGAGTTGGGCCGCGCTTGGGCCTAGATTGAGCCGCCGCGCACTTCCCAATGCCACGTAAACGACTGACTTTTCACCGATGACATTTCTAATAACCTGCATGCGCCAAACATCGGAGAGGATTGCGAGAGTGGCTTTGGACGCGTGACCGGGGGATGAACTCGAGCGTCGACGACCGGCGGCCTGCTCGAAGGAAACACAAACGCCGCGTTGCTTTTTCTTTCGGCTCTGACGCGACGCCATCCGTCCGGGTTTCTTCTCGAAACGTTGCCGTGTTTTGAGGGTCGCTTTGGACGACGGGGGCGGCACGGAGCGGCGGCGGCGGCGGCTGCCGCTGGCCTCCGTCCGCCTCGTCGCCCGCTGAGGGTTGGCCCGGCTCGGACGCTTGCTCGCCGGCCGACGCCGGGCTCCCGGGAATGTCGCCTTTCCGCGGGAAGCGGACGTCGCGAGTGTGACTTGGAAGCGGCGCAAGTCGAGGCCGACCGGCCGGGCTTCGCCGCGGCGTCGCGGTCGCGTCGGCTGCGGTGGAGGCGGAGGCGAGCCCTCCGCGATCGGTCCTCGCGCGACTTTTGACGCGCGAGGGGGGGTAAAAGGGACCGAATGTGGACGAAGAAAGAAGAAGCGTCGGCGAATATCGGAGATTTTTGCGCAGGATCGAAGAAGCGGAAGAAGTCCAAGCGCGCTCGGGTGGCTTTCCCTCGCCATCTCCTCATGAATGTCAACTCCTTTTTGATTCCAACGGATTTGCACATTTGCGCGCAAATATTCATGTCACGACAAGAAAGCATGAAAAAAAAACATGCGGCTAAATCGCTTTACTCGAAGTGATGACTCTTTTCCAAATAAGCCACGCACGCCTCAACCAACCGATTTGTTTGTTTTGTTAGTTGAATGATTTAAAATAAGGCCGCGGCTCCGACTCCGGTTTGAAGTTTTCACTTGGCATCTTTTCCGCTGGTTCAACTTTTGGATTACAGTATTGCTCCCGGTGGTCTTTTCTGCCGACTCGGGCAAAATGGTGAGCGGCGTGGCAGCCGGCATGCGAGTCGGAGGGAACGCTCGGAATGTTGAGCGCGCCTTCTCCTGTGCCGCTCCAACCTCCAGATGCGCTCTGCGGGATGTGCGCGCGAGAATGAGACGGTCTCTCTCCCGCGCTGCATCGAGGAGAGGAAAGGCCCAGTGTGTGTGTGTGTGTGTGTGTGTGTGTGTGTGTGTGTGTGTGTAGTTCTTTTCAAATTGCCATCCCGTTGAAGGCCAACACAAAAGTGTCCCATTTGAGGGGACCCCAATGCGGGTTTCAAGGGTGGCTTGCAATTCACCCGAGATGGCGTGTGGCAGGCCCCTTTGGCGGTGGTCCCGCGAATGAATGGATGGACTTCGCCCGCGAGCGATATCCTCCGTCCTCCGTCATCCCCCCGTCCCATCGTTCGTC